TATATTACTCAGGTTTTGCATTCTCAGTCTTTTCTTCACCATTTTCATGCTTATCAAATTGACTGAAGTTACCCTTCTGCTTGAAAAGCTGAGTATGATGGTGCCTACAATAAAGGCGATGTTCATGTGCTACATAATTTGATGGGCTTATTACACAACCTCCATGACTGCACCTGAAACAAACCTTATGGTAATATTTGTCATCAACTGCTACCTGCAAAAAAAAATAACAGTGATTGTGTCATCTGTCAAATGGAGACAGTTGTATTTGGACCCCAACAAAATGTACATAGGATATGGTATGGTCTAGGATATTTAATGATCTTAGTAGATCTAAGTTCATTGTTAAGTAGTTTAGGGCCATAACATAAGTTTTGAGAATGTGTTTTATGTTTTTATTAATAATTATAAACATATCACAGTGTTTGATCAATATTCCATGTATAAATATGCCTGAGAACCAGAAACAGAAAAAAGAAAAAAAAGGTAGTATTAATGGAAACAGGAAATGGAAACAACCAAATAGACCCTTATATATCTTGTCTGTTTTCACATATGAAGAGAAATTTGCTAAAAAGGGTTACATATACCTTTTCAATAGGGTACACTGTTTTCTTGCAACCAACACACTTCTCTTGAGTTCCAACAAACAAGCTTGAAACCTTGCTATTGGTTTGGACCTGTAGAATTCTTATAGACAAATTACTATGTGCACAAGAAATCAATCATACAAGTATCAAAAACCTTAGTTTATATGGACTAAATAATAATCCTAAGGATGAAGAGGAATATTTAGTATATTAACAAAGTTTAAATACCTGATCAATAGACCTATTGACTCTAGCAATTCTTGTGATACCTTAAGAAGCATGAAATATTACATTGAGTCAGATGAAAAGAGAAAAATAAAGATATTGGAATAAGCTAAGTTGAGTTTGTATTAGAACTTAAAAGTGCTTATGCATAAGAGACAAGTACATAGCAGCAATTCATTACCTTCAAAACTTTTGTCCAAGCTTCCAGTCATCTTAAAGAGTTGATTAAAATGAGGCTTACAATACAGAACACCCTCAAAGGAACAATAATTACTCAGCTGCAGAATGCATAAGGAAAAGATGATTAATTTATCTAAACTTTTTATTAACAAGAACATCCTTCATTGTTTTTCTACATTTAGTTCAGTACATGAACCATTCAGAGTTTACTATTTGTAATCAACACATATTTATAAGTCCATTACCAATCCTCAATTCTACCACTAAATTGCTCATATTTTCTATTGATTCAGGTCACATTGTAGGACCATTTTAAGAAAAATGACAAATTTTCTAGCAGGAATTCTTTAACAAAGTGTCCTAGCCTCTTCTATATTACCTTGAGGGTACCCTTGCAGTGGTGACATTTGAAGCAAGATTTGTGATAGACCTTGTTGTCAGCAATGAGTTCTTCCACCCAATACACTTTTTTATCACATACTTTGCATTTTTGGGTAGTGCCTCCAAATGTTGCCATCTCAAAATGAAAATGTTAAAGAAAATCTAACTTAGATGACTGAATAAGGAACACACACTTTTCTTTTTGCTTTCAAATTCTGTGTTGTGGAAACTAACACATCATCATGGGTCTAAATTTAAGACTTAAATTAGAGAGTAATACTAATAATGACAATAAGAATAATAATTTGTTAGCTGTATTCATAATGGCCAGTTTGGTGATTTGGTTTGGAGCTGGCTGGTCATGGCCCTGGGCCACCCATGGCATTCTTACAACCATCTTGATTTGATAGTTTATTCAAGTATATTGATGTTTTAACTCATTTTATAATTTGATAATTTATTGAAGTATATAGAGACCTTAACACCTTACTTGCCTAACTTTAAGAAAAACTTCGTCTCATATTAGATATGAGGGAAAAAGTGAAGTGAAAAAGTATCAAGAAATTAATATCTTAATGTTTTCGTTCAAGATGTGATGTCTCACTTATTTCTGACCCTATCTTACTATTCTTTTAAAAATAAAGTCATAAATGGAGGAGCATGGTGACCAAACAAAAGAAAATGAGTGCAAGCAGCTCCATGCAGCCATGCTTGACGGAAAGATCTTAGCATTTAGTTTTCATTTCATTTCTTTTTTGTTTTAAGAGTCAAAAAAGGCAGGGTGCATGCACAATATGCAAATTCAAACCAATAAACCTGACCCATTGTTTAATTTAAGTGCAATCAATCACTAGCAAACACCTCCTCAATTCAAAATTTGTCTACTTTGCTTATAAAAATTCAAATTTCATTGTTGCCATTGCTTTTTAGTTTTTATTATATAGTTAACTTCGGATAATGTCTAGAGCACCTACTACTTATAAAAATAAAATGCCCACTATTGATCAACAGTTCAAAGAATGTTTGAAAAGTTACTAAAAGTAGAGTTTAAAATAAACATCCTAAGTGAGGTGTTGCAAAATATTCATGATATTATTAGCTTTAGTAAAGAATGTAATTAATTATTGCAAGCTTCTTTTTTGCATGATGTTGACAATTCATGTGAACTGTACAAGGTACAATGCCACATTGGCTGAACATTAGTTATGGAATTTTATGGTCATATAAACTAATTCTTTTCCAAAGAATACATTTAGTGGTGCACCGAATCTATTATATTGTGTATATCATTAACTTTAATATATAGCATGCACATAATAACACTATGCACATGGCAGCATATTTTGACATCTACAATATAAGCTCAGTAATGGACGGTTGGGAGAATCACAAAAAACTAAACTAAACAGTTAATTACACTGATATCGCTGAGTTTTAGTAAAATTACACAAATCACTTTTTTGTCCTTACATGAATCACCCCTAATTTTGTACATATATTACACTGACCACCCCTAATGAGATATAAGAGTAATATTTTAAACAAAAAACATATGAAATGTGTAATTAAGTTAAACAAAATATTGTATACTGTGTAGACAAATCCAAATAATATAAGAGTCAATGTATCTTCGTTGTTTGGTTCATTACAAAATAGTATAAGGATTATATAAACATCTTATTAGAATTGTTAATATATCTTGTAATGAAACAAAAATAATAAAGAGACATTCAATTTTGTACTATTTGGAATTGTTTACACAATATATGATATTTTCTTTAACTTAATTATACTCACCACACATTTTTTGTTTAAATATTACACTTATATCTCATCAGAGGTGGTTTGTGTAAGAGGAAGAGATGGTTCGTGTAACGACAAAAAATGGATGGGTGGTTTATGTAATTTCACTAAAACTCAGGGTGTTAGTGTAATTAACTCAAAACTAAATATACAATCACATATGTGTCCCTCTTATGCCTTTCTTATTGGGTTTAATTTTTCATCCACTCCAACATTTTCCTTACACCATAATCAAGGTATGAGGGTGATAGACTTATTTTACCTTTTAAGATTTTGGATCAAAATATTTATGGAATATTAAGGGTGATAATCAAGACTTCATGAACGGAAAGTCATGAGATGTGACCGAAGCAAAGACACGTTCAGTTGGCCTGTCGTGGCACGGTTGGAAAAATAAACCATGGCCTGTACAGATGGCTCAGTCAGAAAATGCTCTTTGGCCATCCTTATTAGATTCTATGAGCATAATTAGTAGTTAGTTATTCTTGTATGAGCAGAAATTAATAAGGTAGATATATGGGTATAAGAATGGGGTTAGTTCAAAAATTAGGTAAGTTTGTTAGAATATTTTGGTGGTAGCTTTTTCCCAAGCAACTAAGTTTTGTACTATAAATATGGCTTTCATGCCTAGAATCAATATCAAGAATTATACTATTCAGTCTACATTTTGTAATATTCAAGTATGTCTTGAAGTCTTGGTTATCACCCTTAATATTCAAATAATGTTGCTTAAAATATCTTAAATCATGCATTTCTATTGAACCCCCATTATATGGACCATACCATGCAATCTCATTATAACTCAGCTATGCAATTCCTAAAAACACTTCAAATAGGTAAAAATATGCAACTCTAGACAATAGTTATTTGTTTGACTGTGTAATTGTTGCATACACCTCTATATATTTTGCCTCTCCTCCATGTACATTTTGCCTCAACTAACATGTAAAACTTGTGCAACTAAAAGCTAACACATTATAGAAAATTAAGTTCAACAATTCCATATTCTGACAGAAAATAAAAAACTTCATTGTATTTCTGTGTTCATCAATTGACAACAAATATATATTGATACAGTCAACCTGGGATCATGAACACAAAATTATGATCCAGAATAAAGGCCAACCAATGGATGGTGAATATCATATTATGAATTGTGAATATAATTAGTAATCCTAGACTAAGCATCTGCAAACAGCCGAAAATCCTCTCCTGAATGTAAAATACAAGTACTTATTTACAACTTAATTTCAGATAACAAAAAGGAAGAGCAATTCTATGACTTCTGCCATGCTATACAAGCCAAAGCATAGATGATGTATCTACAAGCAAGGATAAGACTATTGACATCCTAAATATCCATTCAGAGTCCATGCTTACCGAGCAAAACTTCAGTTTTATTTTTCAAAAAAAAAAACACTGAGTGGCTAATGAGGAGTGTTGATAGACAATTAGGAGTTTACTACCTGCATTTGACTCCTTTCCAAACCATGAACCATTTTAGGACATTGAATATCTTTCTCCATCTCTTCTGAGCTTTACCAGTGGCATTCGTTGTGCGTCCCAACATGAAGCCATCAATAGCACTCTGTAAATCTGCTTGAATGTGACACTGAAAGTGAATGTCAGTATCAAAAAATTGCATATGATCTTCATCGATAAAAGCAGGGGCCGTTGAATCTGTTTCACAGACCAAAGAGTTGGTGAGTTGGTAGGGAAAACTAAGAGTCTGATCATATCCAAGCCCCATGCTGTCAAAATTAGGCAAGACATAGTCATCGAAGCCACTAATTCCGCCAACAGAATAAATGGATGACATGATATCTGGAGAAGAGGCACTTGATTGTGCATAATTGAATCCTACTCCAGCCTTTTGAGGAACGAAAAGCTTGTTGCCACTGGATACCTCAGTCTTTAGTGAGCTTGGGGAGTAAAGTGCATTAGTTAAGTTTGAAGAGATATCCATAAGAGAGACTTCGTCTTCAAAAGAGGAAACATTCTCCCCTTGTTTAAATGCAGAAATAACTGAGCTTTGAGCTTCAGCCTGATGGTGGAAATTCATATTAGTATTTAGCAACAGTTATGGAGAAGTAAAAAAAATGAGAGTAAAGAAAGTAGTAGGTGGGAGAGAAGAATGCCTTTTCAGTTTCGGACAGATTTTCTACTGGGACATACTCACATTCAGAGATCAGCCCTGTCAATTGTCCCACAGTATTGAAGACCACGCCAGTTTTCTGTTGAGAATGAGGAGGGAGGTACAGGTGCCTCCTCGATTCAAGTTCACAAGTTCGAGCATGCTCCACAGTTACTTCCCACATCTTTGTAGACATACCTGAGCCCAGTATCTGCACATTTCAAAGCAATGAATTCATTTATATGCCAGAAAGAAACCAAAGTACTTGTCCACTTACAGAAACAAGGAGAATGCTTATCATCAGACAGAACTTTGATAAACTGATGGAGTGGTATAAGTTTCCCACAGCTCAAGCATGCTAGTGACAAGAATAGTATGGGATGTCCTCATCGATGTATGAATCCATTACCAAGCGGGTGTGTGACTTAATAATAGTATAATACCAAAGCTAATCTATATGCCTTGATGCAACCAATAAAAAACGGAACTGTCCTGTGAAAGTTTTTTTTTTTTCTTTCTAAAATCCTTTAAATGACAAAATCTATCAAAACAATCCATAACTAAAAGATACTCAGAGTAAATGTGGAGGTTTTATTAACTAAAAGGACGACTCAATGTACAAGGCTTTCATCTAGTGGGTTCTGGGAGGGTAGATGCACACTTACCATAACAAGCGAAAAAGTTGTTTCCAAGATTTGAACTAATGACCTCTAGGTCACAAGGCAAAGCAATTTTACTGTTGGATCAAGGGCCTCATTCTAGGTTTTATCAACCAAACTGCAATATATATATATAGATATTCAATACTAATTAATTATTACACTGCGTAACTTTGCCGGATCCAGATTGAGAAGTGTGAGAAAATCTTTCACAGTACGGATCTTTTCCCGACTCAAACGCTTATGGAAAGCTCCATCCTTGCCTATCTTTTCCAATCTCCAAACTTCGTCAGACAAACTAGGAGGGTGGTGCTTCTTGTACACTGCAGCCAAATATCAATCTTGAAACTAAGTTTGATCTGTCTCTTGTATTAACAAGTGAATTGAAAAGCACAAACATGTTCTCTTATATTATATGTATCTAATGTGATAAAAGGGGTTAGTCAAACAAATCCAGCATTTTCATGTAAATCAGGTTTTCTTGTACTGGTCTTTATTTCCTACTCTTCCATATTGTAAAATCCATATCTGATATCTAAAACTCTAAATGGTTCAAAAATAGCCTAAAAAGTCAATTCTGATAGCATCTGCAATCATTAGATTTTGATGCATCTAAGCAGGAAAGGATTATACATAAATACTCACATTCTCCTCGATGATCCCTGACAATAAATGACTCCGTCTTTGCTTCTCTTATTATAATACCATCGAAGTTGCCCACAACTCTTGCCCCAAGCCTGAACCTGCGGCTCCTTGTCCAGCTTGAATTATCTGTAAATGAAATTTCACCCACCATACCAGTCCCATCTTTTAGATATATAACTACATCTCCTGTAAGGAGGGCTTTTTTCCCTTCCCTCTCTCTAACAACATTGCTCCTGAATTCTTCCGGCATCCAATTATCACTTTCATCTTTAAAATCACCCTCGAGGACTACAATTTCCACCTTAGCTAAAGATTCAGGCCCTGAGCTAACAACCTTCCCTGTTAGGGCATCAACTAAACCTATCCTCAAGTTAGAACCATCCTCTCCTTCTATTCGAGCTCCGGTAAAGACAGGAAAAGAAATGCTATTTTCAAACTGCAGCTGCAAGCTTCTGGATTCAGTAATATGCATCTCCTTTCCACTGGCCCTGAAAAGAAATAAAAAATATGCATAAGAAACAACTACAGTCAAGCTAAACAATTCCAAAGCATGCTGCTAAGCTTTTTTCCATCCAAAATCAATTCCCTTAGCTTCATAAGCAGCCCAGGTATTGAGGCACTTCAATATAAATTAACTGCAAAATATTATTTCTTACTGTTTCATGCTAGTTAAATGCTTCCTTAGGGCCAATTCAACTTCCTCCCTAACCTGTAAAGATGCCACATATGTGATTGGTATCCGAAATCAACTATCAATAAAAGTGGAACTAACATATACAGGACCAAATTGCAAACATTCTATTCCAGAAATGAATCAAGATAGAGTTCCAGTCCAAAAATCACATGCAATATTTCCGAAACCACTAATCTAGAAAGGGAAATATATTTTGCCACATTACTTGATTTAATACCCATAACACAATATGAACACAACTTTATCTTGTTGGCCCATTTATCTCGCAATAGACAAAAGTAATAAGAAGCAAGATTAAATTATGAAATGCTTAACCAAAAACCTCTTGTATTTTATTCAAGTATCTCATCAGCACACACTGCACTGGAACAAACTTATGCAGATATTGTCCGAGCCAGAGCCCAACAGTGAGCATGGTTGGTGACTAGGGACCAGTGAGTTAGCTCACCTTCAATCAAAAAAGTTCTTCAAGTGCTTTCATGCTCTTCATTTTTCCTTTTTTTTTTCATTTTATTTATAGACAAGTGTACTGTGGCACACTTTAGGAGACTAGAAGAAAAATCCCATATTTATTTCATTATAGCTAATAGCGGAAGCCAATGACGGGGTTTGAAACAAGTAACGGAGTGGAATCTATGAAGTATTTCCTTTGTTTGTATGTTTTTCCTCTGACATGACATGATTAAAAACTAATAACAGATGTAGTATAAGTGGCTGGACCAGGAGAGACACATGAGCAGCTACTTTATTTAGACATGGTTTAGTTAGCAAGCAGTCTGTGAGTTTGGCCACAAAGCGAAAGGATACCTGCAAAGCATGGTGCTAACTCAAACAATAACTGAACTATCTAACTTGATGAATTCAATTCTTCTAAGATGCATGAATCGTGACGTTAAGCCATGAAGATATTTTATAAAAGTAAACATCATTCTACCTCTATGAAACAGAACAAACAGAGGAAAATGAAAGAATGTCAGAAATATAAATGTAACAAGCCTGTCATGAGTAGTGAAATAATGGATTTCGTACCACTCGGCGAACCAAGGGCTCTAGAATTGGCTCCACCAAATTCCTGACTGATTGTAACTTCATCACCTCCCGCACCACACTAAATATTATTGATAATAAAAAGACTAAAATGTTAAAAAAACAGACTCAATAATTCTGTTAATCAAATATACTACATTGTATCCCTAAAATAATAAGCAGAGTAATATTGGCATTGATCTTTCTTAACCAATTTAAACTATCAAAGGAAGCATTAATTAAATTAAAGAGCATAGAATGATTAGTCAGAATGAAGTTGAAAAGGGAGCAATGCACAATGATTAATTTACCAATTCCCATGACAGAACAAACCCCATTTTTGGTTAAAATTAAAGAAAACAAAGGGCAAAAGATGAATAAAGGAAAAAGGTAGGGACCTGGAGAATGTAGGAGCCTTTCTACGCTTATCTTCAGAAGAATCATATTTCGGTTTTTCCTCTTCTGGGCGCCTCTTATTCGACATGGCGGAAGCAACACAACTCAAGTGTGACCATTCAATCCAAATCCAACAAATGTTATAAATGTCCCAACATCAAAGAACAAGGGTCTATGCTATTTCTACTTGGGGAAGCAAGAAAAATAGAAACTTTAGAGTCATATCACAAGTACCAACAACACTTTCGTCTAAATGGGGTAAGGTTTGGACACATCGGATATTAGTTATTTATCCAAAAGTCGATGGAATAATTTTATTTCCTATTATTTCTCTCCAAAATTGAACTCGAAAAAAATGTTATATGACTGAGTAAAAGTGGTCCCACTCTGTCACCTCACCCGCTTCAAGGTGCGCCATCCCATCATCTTATTAAGGGGCTTCAACTGATTAAGACTCTCCATTTTACATCTTCCAAATATTGTTCCTCGTGTGTATCATATTGAAAGTGACATATGGAAAATTAATAATAGATCTTAATTACTAAAATAGTTTTTTCCTCAGAGTGTCATTTCTCATGCACCTTATAGATGGTGACGCACTTGTTGGGGACCACTTCGGTGTCTAACAAAGAATTTTTCCAAAGCATAGTATTAATTAACTATTGTTATTTTGGTTCTTGAGAGACTTTCATACAATAGATTTTTGGTTTAATATTGTCAGAATTAATCTGTATTTTTTTAAAAATGTCGATCTCATCGATCGAACTTTGATTTTTTGATCTATTCGAAGATAAAATTGATACTTACACTACTAAACCAATATAATTTTGATTTTTGATATAGTAGTTTAACACATGCATAATATTCAAGAGGGCATTATTCTTTAAAAATATAGCATGCACAAATGTGCTTAATATGTATTTTAAATAGTTTTAGTAAAATTATATAAACTAACTCTTTTTTGCCCTTACATAAATGTAATATTTAAAAAACATGTGATGAATGTAATTAAGTTAAACAAAATATTATACATTATATAAACAATGATATGAAGTTCTAAAGCATGTCAGGTACAACAATGAAACGAAAAAACAGAAAATATAATAAAGTTTTAACTTTTTAATTATTAGGATCAATAATTGGATACACAGGTTCAATGGTTGTTCAGTCACGTGACAAATTGCGACATGCCATTAGCGAGCAACTGTATATGACAAGTGAAGATTATTGATTGAAGAAGACACATGTACACTCATCCAAACCAACTTCAACCAAATATCGAATTAGAAAGCATAAATGGGCTAAATATTTCATAATGACGTGTGATTTATAACATATTTAAAATTATTTCACATATATTTAAAAAAAATATTTGAAAATAGTTGTATAGTTCATCACATTAATATTTTAAAACTATTATTTCAAATGAAATATTTATTAGAATAATTTTAGAATCTTAAAGTGACCTGTATTTAAGGATAAAGTAAGTTTCTAAAACATTAATTTTGTGATGTAAAACTTCACTAAATCCTGCTAGATCCTGATGATGACCAAAATGTTAAAGGTTTGATTTCTAATAGCGACATTTGTTTGTTGGGAGAAGCATCCACATACTCTGGAGTGATTAATTCCTTATTTATAGAGTGTCGAACGAATACATTGGTTTAATAAAAAAAGGAATGGTGTGGCTTATAAGACATGTAATTTAATGGTATTAGTACCCAACAATAACATCTCCATCGAGTATGGTTGTATATTGATTCTACTTAAGAACCGAAGCTGCAT